GGACATCCCTGGGAACACAGATCCCAATCCAGGGCTGGATCATCCCTGGGAACACGGATCCCAATCCAGAGGCATCCCTGGGAACACAGATCCCAATCCATCGACATCTCTGGGAACACAGATCCCAACCCAGGGACATCCCTGGGAACACAGATCCGAATCCAAGGACATCCCTGGGAACACAGATCCCAATCCAGGGATGGATCACAGCCCAGATCCCAATCCAGGGACATCCCTGGGAACACGGATCCCAATCCATGGACATCCCTGGGAACACAGATCCCAATCCAGAGGCATCCCTGGGAACAGAGATCCCAATCCATCGACATCTCTGGGAATGTAGATCCCGATCCAGGGCTGGATCATCCCCTGGGAACACAGATCCCGATCCAGGGCTGGATCACAGCCCAGATCCCAACCCAGGGATTTTATTCCCGCTGGGGCTGTTCCAGGGGTTGATCCATCGGGAAAACAGGCGGGATTTGGCCCTTGGATCCTTCCCGCTGATCCCTTTTCCCTCTTTCCCGCAGTGATCCCGTCAAGGGCTACATCCAGACCCACCCCGCCTGGTACTGGGCTTCCTAGTGAGTATTCCCGCTTTTCCAACGGCTCGGGATGAGCTCTGGGATGGGTGGGAAGAGCCTCCAACTTCCCAGGGAAAGGATCAACCCGAGGGTGTCCCAGGAAGGTCCTGGAATCATGGAATGGGGGGGGGGGGGATTGAAGATCATCCCGTGGGATGGATGATCCCAAAATCCCAGGCCTTGGAAAATCCCAGGGATGGGGAGTACCCGGATTCCCTCTGAGGCGGGAAGGTGGGAAATCTCCCCTGGATGAGCGGGAGATGGGGGGGATGGTCGGGATTCCAAACACTTCCCAAAAAATCAAAAGGGCTCTGGGAACCAGGGATGAAACCAAAACCTGGGAATTGGCTGCAGAGAACCAGGGAAAAGGGGGATTTTCCAGGGAAATGGCGCAGAACCCCAGGTGGGAGAGCTGGAAGTGGGCCTGGGATAACCTGGAGGCTGAATTTTTGGGATTGTTCCCCGGGAAGTTCCAAAAACCAGGGTCAAAGTCAACCCCTGGGAATTGGCGGCAGAAAACCAGGGAAAAGTGGGGATATTCCAGGATCTGGGATGGGAATGGGATGGGAATGGGATGGGAATGGGATGGGAGAGATGGGAATGGGATGGGAATGGGATGGGAATGGGATGGGAACTGGGATTGGAACTGGGATGGGAGAGATGGGAATTCCCCCCCCTCCCTGGCTTGACTTTCCCTCCCCAAATTCCTTCTCCTTCCCTCAATTCCTTCTCCTTCCCAAATTCCTTCTCCTTCCCTAAATTCCTTCTCCTTCCCCAAATTCCTTCTCCTTCCCAAATTCCTTCTCCTTCCCTCAATTCCTTCTCCTTCCCCAAATTCCTTCGCCTTCCCTCAATTCCTTCTCCTTCCCCAAATTCCTTCTCCTTCCCTAAATTCCTTCTCCCTCCCCAAATTCCTTCTCCTTCCCAAATTCCTTCTCCTTCCCCAAATTCCTTCTCCTTCCCTCAATTCCTTCTCCTTCCCTCAATTCCTTCTCCTTCCCGAAATTCCAGCGCCGTTTTCTTCCTCACCTACCTGATCCTGGCCTGCTGCTCCGGCCCCAGGTAACCTCTTCCCTTGGGAATTGCAGCCCCGGGAAGGGCAGTGGAACCTAATTCCCAGGAATTCCCTGGAATCCTCCCTAATTCCCTGAAATGGTTCCAAATTCCCTGGAATGGTCAGGAATTCCCTGGAATGGTCCCTAATTCCCTGAAAGGGTTCCCTAATTCCCGTAAATGGTCCCCAATTTCCTGGAATGGTCCCTAATTCCCTGGAATAGTTCCAAATTCCCTGGAATGGTCCCCGATTCCCTGGAATGATCCCTATTTCCCTGGAACGGTCAATAATTCCCTAGAATTGTCAGGAATTCCCTGGAATGGTCCCAAATTCCCTGGAATGATTCCCTAATTCCCTGAAATGGTTCCCTAATTCCCAGGAATGGTCCCCAATGCTCTGGAATCATCCTGAATTCCCTGGAATGGTCAGGAATTCCCTGAAAAAGTCACTAATTCCCTGAAATGGTTGCCTAATTCCCTGGAAAGGTCCCAGATTCCCTGAAAAGGTCCCAGTTTCCCTGGAAAGGTCAGGAATTCCCTGGAAAGGTCAGGAATTCCCCGGCCCCCTGGCTGAGCATTCCCTGTTCCTTCCCTTCCAGGAGACGCTTCCCGTGGAATCTGATCCTGCTCGGAATCTTCGTGAGTGGCAAAATCCGGGAACATCCAGAGGGATCCATCCAGGGGCATGTGGGAGTGGGAATTCCCACGGAAAAATGGGAATCTCCACCTGGGATTGCCCCGGGATTGGGGGTGGGAAAGGCGGGAAAAGGGAGAATCCGGTGGGTTAAAAATGGGGGGAATCAACACTGGGAAAATGGGATGGGAATGGGAATGGGAATGGGATGGGAATGGGAATGGGAATGGGATGGGAATGGGATGGGAATGGGAATGGGATGGGAATGGAATGGGATGGGAATGGGAATGGGGTGGGAATGGGAATGGGATGGGAGCGATGGGAACTGGGATGGGATCTGGGATCAGACTCAGACTCCCGTTCCCGGAGCTCCCGGATCCACTCCCGTGGAAATTCCATCCCGGGAGGATCCAAACTCCTCCCGAATCCTCCCCCTCTTCCCTGGGATTGGGGCTTTTCCCGGGATCCCATCCCTGACCCGGCTCCATCCCTTTTCCAGACCCTCTCCCTGGCCTACCTCACTGCCATGCTCTCCAGGTGGGTCATTCCCAAAAAAATTCCTTATTCCCGGAATCCCCAGCCCCCCCTGCCCTCCCCGGGGTTATCCCAGCCCCAGCTTCCCTGGGAATGGGTTTTTTTGGGAAGCTTCCCGAGCCCTGGGGGTGTCCCTGTCCCGGGGGGAGAGTTCCCTGATCCCAAATCCTTTGGGAGAGCCCTGGGAATCCTGGGAATCCCGGGATAAGGTGCTGGAAGGGCTGGAGGTGACTCCCGACGATCCCAAATTTCCCACTGAGCAGAGACAGGGAATGTTTTCCAGGAATTTTGGGATTTTAGAGCCCTGCTCCTTCCTGCTTGTTTTCCCTGGGAATCTGTTCCCATGGGATCTGATCCTGTGGGATGAGCCGGGGGGGGGTGGTGGAAGGATTTATGGATGTACTGGGATAAAGGAAATCATGGATTCAGCAGCTCCAGGGGGAGAACTCCAAGGATGGCCCAAAAATCCCACAGATCCCACAAATCCCACTCCAGGAATGTCCCAAAAATCCCAATCCAGGGATTTCACATAAATCCCACAAATCCCCAGGAATCCCACAAATCCCACTCGAGGAATGTCCCACAAATCCTGCAAATCCCATTCCAGGGATTTCACATGAATCCCACAAATCCCAGCCCAGGAATACCCCAGGAATCCCACAAATCCCACCCTGGGAATGTCCCACGAATCCCATCCCACAAATCCCACTCCATGGATATCACACAAATCCCAATCCAGGGATTTCACACAAATCCCACAAATCCCATCCCACAAATCCCTCTCCAAGGGTGTCCAACAAATCCCACAGTCCCACCCCAGAGATACATCCCATGTTTTCTGGGATATTCCAGAGCCCTCTGGACACATTCCATGTTTTTTGGAATATTCCAGAGCCCTCTGGACACATCCCATGTCCTTGGAATATTCCAGACCCTCCGGACACAGGGATGTCCTGCTGGATCAGGGCCTTCCCAACTGCCCCATCCTGGAATTCTGGGATTCCATTGGAATTCCCCCCCCCTCCCAGTCCCTCCCTCCTCCCCTTGGATTTTAACCCCGGACAAAACCCCCTCCGACCTTTTCCCACCTTTCCTTTCCCAAACATTCCGGGGGGAATTTCGGGAATTCCGGCCCCCTGCATTCCTGTCCCTCTGGAATTGCCCCGGGATGGGATTTTCCCGGTTTTTTTTCCAGCTATTACGACACCAAGGCGGTGCTGCTGTGCCTGGGAATCACGGCCCTCGTGTGCCTGGGAATCTCCATCCTCAGCTTCCAGAGCAAGGTGGGATCGGGATCGGAATTCCCAGGGAATTTTGGGAGCTTTGGGATGCGCCGGGTGGGGCTGGAAGGGGCTCCAAGGGGGAAAAAACGGGATTTGGGAGGATTGGGATGTGCCAGGCCCGGAAACAGGGCTGGAAGATGAGGAAGTTTGGGATAATCTGGGATTTTGGGAATGTTGGGATGTGTCCAAGGGGTGCAGATGGAACTGGAAGTTGCCAAAATTTGGGATAATGTGGGATTTTGGGAGTGCTGGGATGTGTCCAAGGGGTGCAGATGGGGCTGGGAGAGGCTGAAA